CCAAGGGCATAGCAGACATCTCCTCCCAGCACCACTCTGCACAGGAAGCAGCAGCAGACAGCTGAAGGCAGGCTGAAGCTCCACTGGCACACAGAGGAGGCAAGCTGAAGCATGGCTCAAGATCACAATTGCAGATACCATGACAATACTGTTGGCTCTTACTTTTTTTCTTCCTCTATCACAGATTTAGAATCTCAATAGCACTGCCAAGAACTCTTTGCCAAAATATCCATAGATGAGAGAAAATTTTTCTGCTTTCTGTAGGAAATCACAATCTCAAAAGAGAAAAATCATCCTTCAGCATTATAAAGGCTCCAAAGTCTCCAACTCAAAGTTTGTTTAGTTTATCTAAACTGAGGAAATCTCACACATCACCTTTCCTTCACTTTACATTTAGTCACATTGTCCCAGCTCAAGTTATGAGCAACTCACAATAGTTAAAATAACACTCCAGTTTTTATAAAACATTTTTATCTGAGCGCTTGTCAGAAGATGAGGATGTTTGCCAGATAATTTACATAGGATGTTCCTAGTGTTAATTTATAACTATTATTTGGATTTTAATTCTTGGGAAATTTGCTCAAACTGCATTTTGTGCGACTTGGAAAAGATTCAGATTTTCAATACAAAACTACAAACTACTTTGTTCACAGAGGCAGGTGAAAGTCAGGGCAGAAAATACACAAATACCTTCGCTGGAATTTTGCTAGAGCAGATCAAACATTTCTATTTTGATAATAAACACCAATAAGATTCTTTTCAGCCCATGTTGAGACAGCATTTGTAGAAACAAGCGAGTGATGCACGGAACCTCTGACAGCCCTCCCTGCAGATCTCAGCAGTCCTACTCTTTTGTAAGCCCTGTCTAATGCCTGAAACAGAAAACAGCCGAGTTACAACTCTGGACTCACAGGTCAAAAATCACAACCTTACACAAAGGACAACATCTGCCTCAAGCAGAACCACAACTAAGGACAAGCCGCTGCTTCAGCAGCAGTTTGCAGCTCCTGCCAGTGATGAGCAGCAGCAATGCTATCAGCTGACAGTGCTTAACTGTGGTACCTGCAGGGCCTCTGGGTTCCAAAGCACTGCCCACAAAAGTGCAGCCCTACATCTCCATACCCATCACAGCTGTTACTGCACCAAAGCGTCCTGTTGTGACCACAGAACTGTGGGCTACCACGGGTACAGCAGGGATGGATTACGCATTGTTTTCACATTCACACACTTCTATGACCAACATTAGGTGGTAGTTCTCCTAGAATTTGTTTTTGGCTATCAGAGACAGTAGTAATAGATTGAGTTATTCAAGTTAACAATTGCAACCCTAAGATCAATCCATGCATGACACAATATATGCACAATGAAAAAAAATTACCTACTGCCAGGAGCTGGATTTAGCATGAAAAACCACATTAGGGTTACCTTTTATTTAAAACTGAAATAGATGAGCATTCTTTGCCTCCCCACAAAACACTGAGAAGCAGCCTGGCTCACTGCAGAGCTTACAGCTGTGTAAGTGGCCAGCAGCAGAACAGCAGCTGCTCCACCTCACCATAAGCACTAGCTCGTTAAGCAGGAGCAAGGCGTATACACACAACAACAGGCCAAACTTCTGGGCATACTGGGTAAGGCTCATTTCCCTTACCAGCTCCTCAATAGGAAGGATTTTTAGAGCGACACAAGATCTAGGTAAGTGGGACTGGCAAATAAAAGCCTAAGTAACTACTTGCTTAGGGGATTTCTTGCACGGCTCTTTCTATTGAAGAGATGGGTGGAGAGAGGAACTTTTAAGAACTGCTTTCTTATTCCGCCCAACTTCCCATTTTCCTGTTCTTCCTCTCCCCCTTGTGAGCACTTGGCAGCAATGTATTTTTAAGAAATATTCTTAATTAACCATTACACAAGGCAAATGGTATGATAAAAGAATATCGTTAAAGAAACCGGTTTTCCTAAAAGCTGGAAGGCAACTCAAACAAATATGATTAACTTTTCTCACCCCTTTAGCACACACAGCTGAATTCAGTCATCACGTCATAGCCCCCTGAAAATAACTGCTCCTCCAGCATAGAAGGTTGGTCACAAACGATGTACAGTGCGTGGCCAAATTGCAAAATACAACAATTTAACCTTAGCTGGACATGAAATGCTTGGGAAATTGTTTTAGTATATCAATGAAAACTATGCTCAAGTGTTGGCAACATTTACGAGAAAGCATTTCAAAGGTGAAAACTTGCTACAGAAAATACCCCGTATTATCAAGCAGCCAAACTGTGCCTCCAAGTCAGCACATCCTGACCAAAGGCAGTTGGTACAAAACCATCACAGAAATATTTCAGCCTGCTCAAATGCACAGTCGCTACTATTCAATCAGTTTGGTGCTTAAATTCACTGAGACAGAAATTTAGAAATACAAGAACTGCAGCTTTACCAACATGTCCCAGCCACCTCGTGCAGAGAGGCATCAGTTTCTACACTCAGATCTCACTCACAGGAACATGCAGAAGTAACAAGGTCACCACCAACTTCCAGCCACGGGTGTCTGATCAAACATTTACTTTAATCACATAACCTTAACAAAGCATGCTTTTCCAATAGCATACTTCAAAGTCGGTGTTAAATTTGACACAATAGTTTTGTATTTGAAAGTTCATTAATGTTTTATGCCACGAGTGTGGTTTTGGCTCTGGAGGTCAGCATTAATGCACCAAGAACAAAACACTCATTTATTGCAACTCTTCTGAACTAAAGCTGGCCAAAACCACCCCGTGCAGAAACACCAGGCCACCGCCTGCAGAACTGAAGCCCTGCATGAGCCTCATAGCATGGCAAAAAAGAAAAACTCCAACATGGTACCAATTTAAAGAAAATATACTTTCAGCTTTCATGAAAAACAAACAAACAAAAAACCCCAAAGATAAACATCTTGGGATTCCTGGAAATCAGAACCAGCCAAACTTAGTTTTTTATACATAAGCAACTCACCTCTATCTGGAAATGTGCCTTCCACTCTTATTACAAGCAAAATCTCAGCTGGAAAATTACAGAAATGTTTTTTCCTGTCTCTTCATTTGCTACGTATGACAGCATTTTGTCTGAAGCCAGTTTCTGCTGTTTGCCAATGGTTTTGTCCATAGCCTCTTCCCCGGGGGGTTTCACACGAGAAGAGGGGAGACTCTTATAAAAAAATATATCAAATTAGCAGGCAGCCTGGAGGGGAGGGGATGATGTAAATATGTGAAATATCTGAATTCAAATAAACTAAGTTTACATTACAAACTTAATTATGTTTTAACAAAGCCCTTACACGTAGGAGCACCTGGAAGAGGTGAAGTCTAGAAGGCAAATACTTGGTTCAAACAATTCTGTTAATATTATAAACAACAACAGTAAAATAACACCGACCCCAAACCAAGATCTGCTACACCTGAATTCCTCCTGCGTGCTTAGGGGCAGATTCAGCAAAATATCACATGTCCAGTGTGCACCAACTTACCTGAGAAACGAAGGTGTGCTGCAGCAGCTTGCAGAAAGTATTGAGAACGTTGTGAAATTAAATCAGGTTTTAAAAGGCAAGAGAAAGGAAGGCCAACGTGGGATTTCCTTTCCCCCAAGTTACCATTACCGTCACAGCTATTTAACTCTTTAGGGAACAACAATGAAGATCATCCTTACTTTCAGCCTACAATCCTTGTGCGCTCACAGGTCTCCACACTCAGGAACAAGAGCCAAACCATGCATCAACAACAACTTCCACCCAGGAAAGCATACACCTCTGCTGTGCCTCCCTGCGGCTTACGTTACACACTTCCTCAAAGCGATCCCTAGGCAGAAGTAACAAGCACAGATTACTGCCTACATCTGTTAAGTCCCACGGATCTCGTAACGACTGCATTGTTTTGGTCCCCGTTTAAAGGTCCCGATTAGGATCTCCCTTAACCTTTTCATTCCGTTCCGTGAAAGCGAAAACCGGACCGTTACGAACAAACGTAACCAACCAGTAACCGAACGCAGCTCCTCGAACACGCAAAACCTTCGTTTAAAAAAAAAACAACAGAAAACCGCCCCGCAGCTTTCAGAGCCTTAAAGAGAACAGCGGCGTCCCGGGCTCCGCTCTCACAGCCTCTCTCCCACGGACAGCGCCGTGCAGCGGGACGCTCCGCAGAGCCGCCGCTCCGGGACCCGGCGCAGCAGCGGCCCGAGCGGGGATCGCCGCCCGCACCGGGAAGCGAGGCACGACGGAACGGCCCCGGGACGAGCGGACCGCGCGCGGCGGCCGGAGCTTTAACTCGGCAGGAAGGATACGGGAACGAAGGATACGGGAACGCCGCTCCGGCGGGGCGACGCCGTGCCCGGCCGCCCGCTCCGAGAAGGGCCGGCGCCGCGGGACAGCGCGGCACAAAGGGCCCGGGGCCGCCCCACGTGCGGGCTGTCAGGGCCGCCCCCGCCCGCCCCGGGAGCGGAGCCGCCCCCGCGCCCCGGTGCCGCTCCCCCCGCGCGGCGCCCGCCCGCCCGCCCCTCGGGGCCCGTCCCGCCCGGGCAGCCCCTCCGCCCGCCCGGAGCCCGGCGGCACTCACCGGCTCCTTTGTGTTTTCCATCAGGCCCTCGCGGGCAGGAGACGCCCAGCCGCCGCCTCTGCCCCCTCCCCTCGGCTCGGCCCCCTCCGCCCGCCGCCTCCCCCTGCGAGGGGCCGGGCCCGGCGGGACAGGAGGCGGCCCACGAAGTTCAGCCTCTCCCTGAGAGAAAGGAGCCCCGCTCCGTGCGCCGGGATATCAACAACATTGGCATCGCCGCTCTGCGCAGGCGCGGCGCCCGGCCCCCCGCGCGCCCTCATTGGGCTCCGCGCCGCTCGGGGCTCCTCGCTCGCCGTACCCACCTCGGGGGGAAACCATTGAGGCGCGGGGCGGCTCGGCGGCGCGGGGCGGGCCGGACGGGGGCAGCAGCCCCGCTGGGAGTCGTTTCGCTTTCTAACGGACGGCGCGACGAGCGAGGGGGCTGCCGGGCCTCCGCTGAGGGGAGCTCGTGGTCACGTGAGGCAGAGGACGGCCCCCCCGCGCGCGGAATAGAGAGCGCCAAGTCACGTGGAACGCGGAATGGGAGAAGCGGAGGAAGGAAATAAGGCGAAGAAAGGAGGTCACGTGACGGCCCGTGCGGCCAGGGGAAGCTCCTCGCTCACGTGGTGCGGGGCGGGGCGGCGGCCGCCAATCGGGAGAGGGGCGGGCACGAGCCCGGCCGCGTGGACGCTCGGCCGCGCTTCCGGTTCCGGCGTCTCCGCTGTAGCGATGCGCGCGTCGGCGGCCCCGCGGGTTCTGGCTGCGGCGCGGCAGCGGCGGCGGCGGCCGGCGGAGCTGAAGCTGGCGGCTAAGAAGAGTAGCAATAATAGTAAGAAGAAGATGGTGAAGCGGGCTCGGCCGCGCGCCAAGGAGATGGAGGCGGCGGCGGCGGAGGAAGCGTCGCGCCGCGCCCGGCACTTGCGGGCCATCTCCGGCGCTACGGCCGCTGAGCGGGAGCTGGAGGAGCTGGTGTTCGGCGATAGCCTCGTGGCGGAGGAGGCCGAGCTGCTGCAGCGCCTGGCCGGCCCGCAGGTACGGCTCGGACGGGCCGGGGCGGCGGCGTTGGCGCTGCGGGGCGGTGCGGCCCCGGCTCCCCTGCGGGAGGTGAGCGGCCCGCCCCGCGCTCAGCGCCCGTCCCGATGCGTTTCAGCCGAGCGCCGCGCGCAGCGGGGCGCAGCCGTGCCGCTCCGGCCATTCGGAGTCGGAGAACGAAGCCAAAGGGGGATTCCCGTCTAAAGGGCCCGTCTGGGTGGATGAAGACGACGAAGCCGAGGAAAGGTGCGCGCAGGGCACGCGGCGGCGGTCGGCCCCGTCGGAGCGGCTGCGGACGGCTTCCAGTGCAATGAGCTGTGCGGTTGTTGTGTTCTCGCTCTAGGGTTGACATGACCCACAGGTATAGGAGGGAGCTGATGAAAAGCGATGCCGAGAAGATACTCACTAAGAAAAAGCTAAAAGCAAGACTCGAAGAGCAGTGAGTTCACTGACGCTTTTGTGGTAAACTGTGCTAAGACATCTGTGGATGCTCGCGGCATTCTGAGTCCCTTTTGTCTTTTCTCCCTATGAACTGCTTCAGTCCTGGAGCTGTTCTTGCACTCGGAGGCACTGTTCAGTTAGAGCTTCTTAACGGTGTTTATGGAATCTTTAAATCCAGAGTAATTCTGTTATTTGATTTTTCTTTATCGACTTAATGCTTGTTTACTAATTAGAAATTATTCCATAAAATACCTGAGGTGATGTGCTGTTTTTTAGTTGGGTGATGGAAGATGTTAATGTGATACATAAGAATGACTGAAGCATGGATAGAGTTGGATGCCATAGTAAAAATTCAGTTCTGCTGGGTTGCCTGGCTATGAGAGTGCATTGCTCAAACAAGTCTGAGTCATCTTGCAGAAGTAGCAATTTCTTGTAAGTGCTTACCAGGTAGAAAGAAATGATTTTGTTAAACAAGATGTTTCTTTCTTCTCTCCCCTCCCTCTTCTCTTGCTAGATTTCAGCGAGCTATGGGAGGAGTTCCTGCATGGGCTGATAGGGAAAACAGGAAGAAATCCAAGCAAGCTGCAAGTGATAGTAAAGAAACCTTTTACTGCTCTAAAGCAACTTGCTGTGCTAGTCTATTCAACTTGTGGAAAAAAGACTTGTTTTTGGTGTTTGATAAGTCTTTGTGTGAATAAAGCTGGGTGGTCAGCTTTATTCTTTCTTTTGGTGTGTTTTTTTTTCTTATTATTGTTCCTGTAGGGAGTTCATTGAGCTTTCCAGTGTGCTCTGTTTTTAATTAGGTGGCAGCGATGAAGATGATGATCTGCTGTGCAGAACTGGCAATTTCATATCAAGCTCAGAATCCCTACCAAGGGGTATTTTGGAGGTAAAGGCAACCTTGTAATTGCACCTTAGTTTGGTCTGTGAACGTGCTTTGCTTTCGTTATTGCTGTTCAGGCAGTAAAATTAGCTCTTACATGAATGTCTTTGTTCCTGTAATTGTAACGTTTAAATATTAATGCTTCAGAGAAAGTGAGTAGTTCATGTTATGAAGGCATGAAACAAATTGAGATGTATTGATGTAGGAGTTATTTAATGTACTCTTAAATAGCACTTTAGAGTAGGATTTCAGTCTCTGGGGGGAGGATGGAGTTCTCCCATGACCGGGTGATGAAATGGTTCTTGAGAAGGGAGCCCTCATAAGTGTTTCTAACACTACCTCCTTTACAGCTATTTGAGATGAGCAGGAGTGCAAGTAGTCTCAGCTAACTTTCCTTCTGACTTCATCAACAGGCTGACCAGTTTTATGCCTACCCTGCTGTACTGAAGCAACTTAGCAAACTTATTTTGTTAGTTCTGCTGGCGTCAAACTGTTGAAAAGTCATTGTAGGTATCAGCATAACTAAATGTGTAAACTGTTATTTTGTTTTTTTGCTTGATCTGTTTTCTAGATGAAGAGCTGCTTGCCTGCTAATCAGGAACGTCTTGCTGATGGAAAACTGTCAACCGTGCAGTTCCATCCATCTGCTCAAGTTGTTCTGACTGCTGGCCGCGATCGATCAGTGTCACTCTTTCAGGTGAAGAGTTTTAACTTATGTGAATGTGAATGTGTTCTTAAATGGAATACTCCTTTGATAAATGTACTGGAAATACCTTGGGAAGATAGACTCTCTTTTCACTGTTCCTATGACGGTTGGCACACAAGGCTTGTGATATCTATGGTTAGAATGGAATTAGCTTGGAGTTTTCATGAAAGATTTCTCTGTCTTCATACCAACTATCTGCAAAATATAGGCAAAATAGTTTCATCAGGCACTGTAGCTGAAGAGTAACAAGGACTACTGAGGTTGTGTTTCTTATTTTTAATTAAATTGTTTGCAAGTGCTATATTGTGAGGAGCACTCTGCTTATGTTTACAGCTGTAATAGTGCTCAGAAATCCTTGGGGGGTTGGAACGGCTGTGTTGTAGGAGGAAGTTTCATATCCTACGGTACTTCTTTTGTGGTCCTGTGAAGACTGAAGAGCCCAGCTCTGCTAGGAGTTTGATGTGGCCTAGTATCAGTGAAGTAGTCAAAGGTACAAGCTGAGTGTGACATCTGTGAGACTGCAGGAAAAGCATATTAGAAATTATAGTTTATTTGAATAAAGCATGGGCAAGACAATAAGGAGAAGGGGATTGAAGGATGTCCTGAAAGTCTGGGAGAGCCTCATTTATAGGGTGAGGGGTGAGAGGTGGACTGTTCGTAGATTGGATAGGGAAAGATAAATGCTTTCAGCTGGGTACACTTTATTGTTTCTCTTTTACTGGTGAGTCAGTAAGAATTTTTCTCTGTAGAAATATTTGATATGTTCATTAATGTGATAATCTTTTAATTTTTATTTTAAGGTTGATGGCATAAGGAATCCAAAAATACAGAGCATCTATTTAGAGAGTTTTCCAATCTATAAAGCTCGTTTCAGTGCTGATGGAGAACAGGTTATAGCCACTGGTACTCACCATAAAGTGTTCTATGTGTATGACATGATGGCTGGAAGTATTATTCCTGTACATCAAGTAAGAGGTAAGTTAGTGATCTAAGTGTCTCAGTGCATTTAAAGCTGTCCAAAGTAGCAAGTGCACATGGGTTTGCTTTAAAAGGAAATGTAGTGAGTTCTTGGAGGTAGTGATGTCTATTGTTTTACTATGGTATATTTAGTTCTAGTTTCTTTGATATAACCCCAAGTTTGTGTAACGTCTAGCCCATAATGTTATCTTGTTAGTATATTACAGAATTGAAAAGGCGGAGTCGAGTCTTACTTATGTTCACTGTAGGCCCGAAGTTGAGGTAAGTGAGTAAATCACACCAATATTAAGTTCTGTATCACTCATTTTAAAGGTATGGAGGAAAAATTTGTCAAAAACTTTGAAGTCTCTCCAGATGGATCGTTTATGCTTCTCACTGGAACTTCAGGATATCTTCACTTGCTGTCAATGAAGGTAGCTTTTTCCATAATTCATGTAGTTTCAGTTTCTTGGTACCCTCTTCCTTTTGAATCTGGTTGCTTGCCTTTTAATCTGAGAAGCAATGCAGCTTTTCAGTTAAAATAGGTGTGACGTACTGTGACAGCCTTTGAAAGTGAGCTGCTCTATGAACTGACTGTAACTATGGAAAATGGTTTGGGGATGTCAGACAACTTTCTTTGATGACGTTCTTTTTGGACTGGTAATGGAGTGAAGTCTAGAGTTTCCTCCTGGGGGTGTTTTTTGGGGAGGGGAGAAGGTGGAGAGTGGGTTACTGGAAAAAGCCATTTGTCAATGATGTGTTTCAACTGATGGTATAAACACTGTGCTGACAAAACCAATAGCCTCAGCGTGGGAACAAGAATGTGAGGGTGGAAGAAATGTAGGACTTGTTTTTTGGGAATAATGTTAGTGTGTGTTGGTGTACCGTGGTCGTGAATCACTCCATCTGCTGTGATTCATAAGGATCCTAGATTTTTTTAATCTACATTTTAAAATGCCACGTGAGGGCAGCTGCACTTGTTTCAAACTTGGAAATAACTAGGAAAAATAGTTTTAAAACAATTTCAGCTCCCTTTTGTATTGAGATCCCTCTGTGAGGGAGCAAATGAGCATTTATTGAACTGGCATCAACTGGGTAACAATAAATTGGTTGAGCATGAGCTTGTGTGCTGGACTGCGGGCTCTGAAAACACTGATATGTTCTTGTAATGGCAAGTTGCTGTGGCTGACTTAAGGTTTGTGTGGGACAGGAGTATGGAAGCAACTTTCCTACTGACCTTACCATTTCATAGCACATCTGAAAGCATCAAGGATTTGTTGAATGCTGCCTGTTAAGACAGAACTTTGTTAATTTCTAGACAGCCAAAGAAAGGAGGGTGATAAAATGCCTCATCACACCTCTTAAACTGCAATGTCTTGGTCTGAATGCTCATTGCACTCATGTTTCAAACAAAGCCAATGCTTACGTGATTACATAAAGCTGAAGGATACCAGTTCCTTTCTTGTAATGTAGAACTTGTCTTAGCTGCTGGCTGGCTGACATTATGTTGTGTGATAATGCTGCTACTTCAGGCAAAACAGCACAAAACTGGAAGTCTGTCTTGAATTTACATACAGATATGTCAGTGTAGAATTTAGAGATGAGCTTTAAACAGACTCAGAAATACCTCAGGCTAGGAAGGGTTGAAATGGCAGATTTTGTCACCATTATTAATTTCCTCCTATAGACAAAAGAACTGATCAGCACGATGAAGGTAAATGGAAGAACCACTGCATCTGCTTTCACTTCAGACAGCAGTAAAATATATAGTTATTCCAGTAAGTGCTCTGTTTAATAGTACTAATTGTAATTCCATTGAAATTGCTTAAGTTTTTGTAAATCAGTCAATGTTGTTGTACAAAGTTAGAACCTCATCTGACCTAGAAATACCAGCAGGTGATCCATCATTGCCAATAAACTGTTCTAGTATTTATAATATATATATATATATATATATATATAATATTAATATATAATATATATATATCTAGTTTTTATAAAAACAGACAAAGCCTCCTTATTTGATAGCTGCATATAAGTTAACAGCTGTCTTTCTTAAATCTATTTTAACAATTCTGACAGATCAGTGTACGTTTCGTATGCATGAGTTCTGTAATCTTCTCTTTCTATTCTGCAAATAGAGGAAGGTGAAGTTTTCATTTGGGATGTGAGAAGCAGGAAGTGCCTACACAAATTTGAAGATGAAGGCTCTTTGGAAGGGAAGTGTATTGCTGTTTCAAGAAATAACCAGTATGTGGCATGTGGGTAAGTGAATAACTTAGGTGTTTTATTTTCTTCCTATCTCATTTTGAAGCTCTTCAGAATTTGTGTCTGGTAAGAGTGTAGGAAGATAGAATGAGTTTGGTTTTAATAAAGTTATAGTAGAAGTGAATAGATGAATGTTGCTGTTTCTGTGATAATCATTTATTCTGTTTCATGTACATACAAATTACCATACTTACTGAATACTGGTATTGCTCTTAATATGTTATTATTGGCATGCAGCGATTTTAGCAGTTAATTTTGACATTGTGCAGTTGAAACTCTAGTTTACTCTCTTCTGTACTCCTAATTTGATTGCTGTGAGAGAGCATGTTAGCATTTATAAAGATGTTTTGACTCTGACAGTTGCAGCAGCAGAGCCTGAATATTTCTTGAAAGTATTTCTGAATTAATGGTTGCTGGCAGCTAGTATGTCAGTTCTAACAACTAACTGATGTTTGAGTACAGTATGCATTTTCTTAGGAAAAACTTCAGACCCTGATTCTGAGCTCTCTCTGGTTTGAATTTGTTGTACATGGCGTTGGTGTACCAAGGATCACCAACTAAGAGTCTGTTTCTCAACCCACCCATCAAACCCCTCTACTAAATCCTGATACAAACTCTAAAACACAATCTTCAAAATATTGTTACAAACCACACTAAGTAATTACTTGCTAATGATCTTTAAGTTGACTATTGGCTACAGGTAACAAGTTAACATGTACCATAAACGCTGTTTCTCAATATGGATTTTGTTAATTTCTTATTGTAGTTCAGTTTCTGGAGTTGTGAACTTGTATACTACTGATGTTTGTCTCAAAGAAAATCATCCTAAGCCAGTTAAAGCCATAATGAACCTCGTTACATCTGCTACGTCCGTGACCTTCAATCCTACTACAGAAATCTTGGCTGTGGCTTCCAATGAAGCTGATGAGGCTGTCAAATTGGTATGGTCAGCTTCTTTTCTCAGTGTAACATTGCTTGTGTTGTCTTCTGAAAAACTGAGTGCAATCCTGCTGACGTGGTCAAACTGATTCTGAGTGGGTACATGCACTACAGAATTTGCTTGATTGGAATGTGTATGGGGTGCTGTACCTATATCAGAAAATGTTTTTTTTTTCCTTGGAGAAAGTTCTTAAGATAACCTTGTGGTCTAACTTAATTCTTTTTTTTCTCCTCTTTTTTTTAAATGTTCTTGTTTTGTTGCTGCAAATACAAGAACTTAGCGACAATTCTTAATTTTCAGCATCTATTGACTGTAACAGTCTTTCTGGGTGATGATTTTTCCTTGCTAAGAAATTTTGCCAGCCTTGACAAAATTCTGGGTATTTCCTACTTGATGTGACTAACTATATCTTTCTTAATAGGTACACATTCCATCATATACTGTATTCTCAAACTTCCCAGTGTTCAGAAGAAAGCAAATTTATCTTACTCAATCTATGGACTTTTCTCCTAGAAGTGGATTTTTCTCTATAGCAAACAACAAAGGCAAAGCTTTGTTGTATAGGTATGTACTAAGTTTGGTTGCTTAATCCCAGGTAACATGTTTATATTCAATAAGGTGATGCACTGTAAATGGTGAAATTTGACTACTTGATCTGATTTTTACTCAATGAGTTAACAGTGTGGCACTGAGTTCCCACTCTGGAGAATGAACCTAGTTGTTTTTTCTGATTATTGACTATGTATTACTGCAGACATGCCTGTGAAAAGTGTTATTGTTCCTTGCTGGATGAAAGTAGGAAGGAAATAGCAGATAATGGATAGTTTTTGCCATTTTGTTTTCTTTTTAAGCTTTTACTACATCTGTGTTTCAGATTAGTAGTAGTAGTAGTAGATTATTGGAAGAATATTCAATGGTGCTACTGAATATTTATTGCTTGTTATATCATGTGTACAACAGGTTACTGAGAAGCTTTACATCTGTCTCAACTATGTTTTTTCTTCAGGTTGAAACATTATTCAGATTTCTAGAAGATACAGGAGAAAATGGACTAGCTTCTTAGGTAAAAGTAGCACTCAAGCTGTTGACGGGATTGTCTTGGCATTTCTTCTTTGCATTCAGCTACCTCCACCTCATCAAAGGTGGCAACAAGAAGTTCTCAGTGTGTAATGTTGAAATGGTATTGTCTGGGTTGTTAACAGAAAATGTCCATTACAAGAGACAGGCTTGTTTGTTTAGCTCAGCTTTTCTAATAATGCTCTTAGGGCTGGTTGGTAGTTCAACCAAATGTGCCCAGTCCTGTTGACAGCTGTTTTAAAAACTTGTAAGCATTAAAACCAAACTCCTCAGCAGTGATGGTATAAACAGCTGTAGGCTGCCTTAAATTGGCCCTGTTGTGTGGACACACTTACATAACTTCACAGGTCAGTGTGATTGAAAATTTAGGTTACGTAAACAACTGAAATTTTAAGTGTAGCTTGTGAGAATTTTTGCCTTTTCATGGGAAACTGGAATCTCCTGTAGCCTTTTCAGAAACACAGTAGTGCTGTTTGACCTAAAATCTGTTAAAGGTTGGAAGCTCAGCCCATTCAAACTGAAAGCTGGTTCATATTCTGTGCATTAAGCTTATGTAAACTGTTGTGATAGGTGAATGTTCTGAGCATGCTAACAACATTCTCTGTGCTGATCCTTCCCCAGGTGTGGTTACCTGCAACTACACGTATGCTGACAAAATCAAGCAAACTACTTGCAATGGAAGTTGAACAATATTAATATAACATCTGTGATTTGTGAATGTTTTTCTTAATAAATGTACCTGATAAATTTCCAGGCAAGTTCTTTCAGCTTTTTTCCCACACTTTGTGTAAGCAAATGACTAAACAGAATTTTGATGGTTGGTAATGAAGTTAATGTCTTCAAGAAACGCTTAAATGCTCTGTAGTTATTATGAGAACATGATGTGTTCCAGTGTTGACACTAAAACATCAGTTTTGTTTAAGCTCTTCCTTGTGTATTTGGCTTTAGCTTTGCCATCAGCCAGGGATGTTTCTGGCTAGAAGCATCATTTTGCTGATGAGAGGAGCAAAAAGATAACCTGAAACCTGGTCAGTGCAGGTTTTGTGGTTCAGCTCGTGGGCCAGCTGTAACTTCAAGATAGCTGAAGCTGATGACGGAGCAACACCACCATCGTTTGTGCTTAATGTCTCATGTATTAAAGCCAGCTGTTTAAGCCTTGGTTTTAATTCCTCAGGGAGGACCCCATTCTTTCTGTGAAAGCAAAGCAGAGTATTGCTCATGGTTGATTTTTTAATCAGTTGTGAAATCCTGATCTCATTAGGGCCATCTAATAAGGACTACTGTGCAGCTACAATTACTGGTTCCTTCTGATGTCAAAAATGCCTCTGATCACACTTTTTCTTGAATTTGACACTTGTTTTAACATAAATTGCTTAGAATAGCTAGTAAAATTTCAAATTTGAGAATAAATTGTGACTAATACATCAGTGTCCATAGGGGGGAGCTTTTTGAGTGGAGTAACATAGAGAGCAAGGTGTTCCACTGTAGTGGAAGTGCTAAATCAAGGCCTGAAGCAGTGATTGAGCATCTGGTGGGAAGGTGGGGCCAACCCAGGGGAGCTCAGGTGTATGCAATGTACCTTATTGACCAGAAGGCGTGGAGCCAGGATCCACCCCTTTCCAGCCCTCATTTAAGGGCTGGCAGTGGAGGCGAGGGCACCTTGCTGGAGGTCCCTGTGTGTGTGTGGGAGGCTTTATGAAGGTAAGCAGCTGCTTTTCTTTATTTCATTGCATATGACTGTTGTGTTTGATCAAATCTTTATTGCTGTAGCCTGAGACCTTACTATTTTGCTGTTATTGCTGTGCTTTCTGTTGTGTTGCATCCACCAACTGGTAGTGAAGTCAGCATGGGGAAAGTGACACGTAAAATAGGTACTCTGGGCTGTATAGGGCTACTTCTAAATCCTCATAACTGTTTTCCAAAACACTGTTCTCTGAAGTATTGCAGTCTTTAACGTAGCTTTACCAGCAACACTGAGAACATTATGTCATAGAAATAGTATGATGTGGAGGTATTGAATTGACCACTGTATATAAACTTACTATAGTGATAAACATAAACTAAGTATCTTAGTGCAGAGTAAGGAAATTAAGCTGTGAGCACAGACAAATGTGACTAAAAATCCAGTTGAAATGGAAGTTTTGTAAAATTTCAGAAATCTGGAAGCTGAAGCTGGTTTGTAACTTCACTAGAGGGCAGCACTCAATCACTTGAATGCTTTGTATGTCTGTATAATAATATGAATGTAACAATCAATTTTACCTGTGAGAGCCTCATAAGTAAGGTTTTGGTTGTAGTTTTCAACATGAGTCAGTCTTTTTCTTTTTTTAATCCTTTCTGTACTTCCTTGTTAGGTTTAAGTAGGAGGATATAATCCACAAGACCATTAAATCTTTTTCCTTGGAATTCTAATGACTTTTAAAAGGGTAGGCTTTAAAATTGGAAGCTATATTGTCTTTTATCAGTTTCACTTAAGTAGCTGTTCGTGTTATTACCACTGAATCTACTTCTAGTTGGCTCTGTCCCTCTTCTCCCAGTGTGTCTTCTCTGCACTTTTCCTATAAGGAAATAATCCTGAATGTAGTAACTAAAAGCCACGAAGCAAGTCATTAACAGGTCTAGAACTTGCACTCAGAATTATGGGATTCCTGGCCTTGTTAACAAGTCCAGCAGTTTCTGATGCTTTTCTTCACCCATCCAGCTGACTTTGGGTTAAGGTAACAGGCTGAGAATGGAGGTGAATGAAAAAGGTGTTTTCAAATAATGCCAGGAAGGAAGAAGTGTTCAAACATATTTAACAAATTCTGTGATGTAAGCTGCAATTATTAATCTCTAATGAGTTGGAGAAGGGGAATGCTGAAGAACAAGAAGTTTTAACCTTTGCACTCAGTATCTTCTTGCTATTGCAAGAATTGGGATTGTGTCTTCTGCAAAGCATAATTTGCAACTCCATCCAAAATGGAGTAATGAAGATTGGCCTTTTGAGAGATAATGGAAACTCAAGGTGGTTGTGTTGCTGTTTGTGAGGAGCTGTGATTAACAGCATTTCCACACACTGGCCAGATTCCTAACAGGTGATGCTACTGCAAGGAGTTGATGTACTGCTGTGTTGCAATGGGACACAATTACCACACCTGAGCTGTTTGTGCCACAGTTTTCATCTCACTTTGAAAAACGCAGCCTTGTCCACTTGCTTGTTAATAGTACTTGTGCTTCTGACCTATTTAAAGTATTGGTATTTAATTCCTTTTTTCCTAGCATGGCTTTTTTTTCCCTGACATTGCTCAGCTGAAGTTCTTTTAATGAATTATTTCTCTGCTTTTCCTCTTTTGCCATTCTCCTTGGCAAAATAACTTTTATTGATGTGACCCATTAAATATTTATCACTGTAGCCTTTCCCCTTCAGGCTGTGATCTTGTCCAATTTTGCAAGCTAAAGGCAATTAGTCTTGTGCTTAGAAAGGAATCTCCAAGAAAAAAAGCCTGCTTGGATGGCAGTAACACTGGTTACTTAAAAGTTGATCAGCTTTGCTACTAACTGTCTTGAAACTGCTGTTTGCCTTTGTTCTCAGGGCTGGGTTTGGGGTGGAGGTGGTTCAGCAAAATCTTAAAGGACTGAAATTTGTGTCTCATCCCATGCTCAGGAGTGCTGTGCTATTGGGAAGGCTTCTCCTGTCAGACTTTTCCTTGTGGAACTGTTGCAGTCCTTACGTGATTTTTCCAGTTGAATGGAAGACTCTTGATTTGCCTCCTGTGTTTAAGTGATGCGTGGGATCCAATCTCATAGTGAAAGGATTACTTTACAGGTGGTGAGGGCTCAGGTAATACACAGCTTATAGTGCAGCTAAGCAGAGCTTTAACATTTCATGTAGTTAAACTTCCTGTGCAGAACTGTGTGGTTTTGGAGTGTGAGTTGTTGAAGTTTTATGAAAGCCTCTCTTCAAATCTGGGGCTTTAGCCAATAAATACTCTTTCCCATGTAAGATGGGATTATCAATTTTATTGCTGTGTAGCTTTTTTCCAGGTGCCGTGGCTCCTGGCTGATCCTTCTCAAGGGGTGTAAAGTTGTCACATTTCTAACATTCCTCAAGGTATTTGAATAAAAAACACGATGGGCACAGACCAGTGAACGTACAAATGGTCAGAAATGAACCCAGGGTTTTGCTTCAAACTCATTCTGTGCGATTAATGTAACAGCAGTTCGTGCTTACTGTCAGTACAGTGTCCACGTAATAATCTCCAAGCGAAGGAGATCTGCCCTACCTGAAGTCTAACAGGGATCAATTATGGAAAGCTGTATTGCCTGACTGCATGGAGGCCTCGGAGGACTTTAAGGCATGGAATGGCATGTAGCAAGTGACACGAGGCTCGTCTCAACGATGGGGGGGAGGTGAAATAACATTGAGTTAGAGTGGGGAATTTAATCTTAGTTTCTTGTTTCCCTGTCGCTCTAAAGCTGCAAATCAGCCCATCTCATTACAAGTTTTGCCTTGCTCTGTTTTTCACGTGCACCTGCTGTGTCCTTTCTTACTGCCCTGCAGTTCCTGATGCACACTGTGTCATTCCTTCTCCAGTCTGCTCTCTTTCTGCCCATACTTAAAGTGACTCTGCTGATGAATGTGGTACGTAGATTGCGTGCAGTTCTGTGAGAACAGACACTTGGTGGTTCCAGCTGATGTGCAGCTTTGGGAGGCTTGGCAGAGGTGCACACCAAGGCTCAGGTTGGTGCAGGAAAGTCAGACTTGGGCAGAAATCCATCGGTTCCTGTGGTTCTTCTGGGAGTCCATGAAGAGGCAATCCAGGAGAATGGGGGAAAAGATGTAATGAAGCTGGCTGGAGCCATCTAAAAATAATTACCTTAATTATAAACATACATAAATATCCTGCTGTCTCCATGTCTAATAATGCTCAAACTGCTTTTGAACAGAGAATTTTTATTTGTCCGAGGTCCTAAACATTTTGAGACCATCTGTCTTTTCTCTGTATGTGAGAAATTAAGTAAAGCCTTTTAAGTGCTATGCAGCAAACTTCCCCCTACATCTCTGAGGCTTTTTACACAAGGTGAAGGAGATCAGCTGCCTGCTGCCTTGTCAATAAAGCAAATTCCAGTGATGTTGGAGGTATGACTTGGCCCAATAATCACAGTAGTGACAGTGAGCAGCCCAGCACTCAGCAACGTGTCCCAAAGATGCTCTATGCCAGAGGTAGAGCATGATGATCTCTAGAGCCCACATGGGTGCTCTGCAGGAAATACAAGTAATAAAATTAAGGAGTGTTCAGTAATACAGCCAGAATGATTCTTACTGCTAAACTATTTGATTAATACTGTTGCACGCTCAGAGCAACTCAGTAATCCCATGTCTCATAAGGAGTTGGAGTGCTGCGGGGGCTGGACTCCCTCCTGGCTCCTCACCATGAGTTGTTCCATCTCTTCTGAGCTTTGCCTTTTCCTCATCTGTCCTCTGATCTTCCACGGTTGTCTGGCCACCTCAGAGGAACCCCTCAGAAGAAACTGAAGTAAATCTGCAGCTCAGCCAGTGCTCTTAATCTAAAAATATGAGGCACATAATTGCTGGTAGTGCTCATAACAGTTTTAAATCTGTGGAAAGTTAGCCAGTGTTTTTAATGGAGCTACTTTGCAGCTAGATGATATTCCTGATGAGCGTGTCATTGCTTCATTAGGTTTCTCCCCCCTCATTTTCCTGCATTTTGTTAGCAAATGATTGCTTGCTCTCAAGGATGTGGCTGGAGC